TTAAAGTATACTCTTTACTATAAACTTCGCATAGACTATTATAGAGTTACACTACATATCTCACATGTTCCACAAGCAAAAGTTTAATTCTGAAACTTGGTTGCGCCACAGCACACATTCAAGTAATGCAATCCGATTTTTTTAACGTAAAAATTTAATTACTTAATCATTTACCGGTAGATATTTATCAAAACAAAGCTAATTTTATTGACTTGGTCGTCTATTTAATTCAATGAGTCGGAATTTTAAAAATAGAAGTAGGATCTTTTAATCTATCACTTTTTTCAAAATATGTTAATTTTGAAACACCATTACATAAAACTATAAATTTTAATAGGACTATATTGCTATTAAAATTACTGAATCAAGATATCAAGTTTCATGATTGTGCATAACAAATTTAGAAGCATGCAATTACTATTGTCTAATATCTTTTTTATAAATAAGCAAAAAAACTTTTACGTATTTATCTAAAGTGTAAATTGCAAAAACTTTGTGAATAAACGTACGTATTTTAATCTTTTTTAATATTTTTTAATTTCTATCATTTTAATGATTTTTATAACAATATATTGATAATCTTTATTTTCTATTACTTTCTTTTTCATTAAAGCAACAAAATGAATTGTAAAACATTACTTTGTCTCGCATTAATTCTTTCGGTTCTTACACTTCTTTTTCTCTTTCTAGTAAACCTGAGTGCTCCAGTTATAACTTCAATCACCATAATAAACTGCTCAGTAGATAGCACTGAATCTGGACTATTTGGAAATACTACTTCCCATAATGAATTTGGGTTCGGATTATATGGTCTTTGTTCTACAATTTCATCTTCAACTTTAGCCTTGGGGATAAATATATGCGTTTCTTATTCGAGCATTATTACTAGTTTGATCGGAGTCAATATGACTTGGTATGGTGGCGTGCAATTTGTTGAAGCTTTGCATACCATTGGTAATATTTATTTTTAAATAATCATATGAAAATAATTCAATTATCAATAAAATAATTATTATTTCGTTTATTTTATTTTAGCCTTATTAGTTTCGTTCGCGTTGACTATAATTAGTTTTCTTGTTTGGAAAAAAACCAAGAATACGAATCACGCTCTGTGGACTTCGGCTATTTGTACATTTCTCATTTCTGCTTCAATGATAGGAGAGGTTGTTTTTTACGTGATTCTTCAAAAAGAGCTAGACAATGCGAATTCTAGTTCAAATTCATCGAGTTCATCTAGTTCATCGAATTTATTTGGTTCATCAAATTCATCGAGTTCATCAAAAAATGTATCCTTATCTTTAGGTGCTGGATTTGTTTTGACTGCTTTATCCCTTATATGCACAGTATTAATAGCTTTTATATACTGGAAGACTAGCTCGAGGCCTCAAGAAGAAGATCAAAAACAGTTCAATGATACATCTTCATATAATCAGACTTCATTTAATCAGAATGGTGGTACTGTGCAAACACCTTATCAACCACCGCAGTATTCAAATCAAATGTCAAATAATCAGATTGTTAATAATACTGCTAAACATTATCAACCACATCAATTTTCAACCCCTCATCAACCACATCAATTTTCAACCCCTTATCAACCACATCAATTTTCAACCCCTTATCAACCACCGCAGTTTTCGAACCCTTATCAATGACATTAACCAACCATTTTGGGTTGTATACATTGTATATAACTTCTTCTCTCCAACCTCAAACCTAATCTCTAAGTTCAGGGCATAGATAATATTATTATTACTGCTTAAGCTTAACGGAAATGATTTTTTGTAATAATGTAATTTAGGCCATTTGAAGTTGATTCTTCGGTTAACGTAACCCCTCCCTCCTGGCCATCCCCCCAAAAACGAACAAGCCAATCACAGCATTGTAAAATTGTTGTCCAATTTGTAAAATTG